TGTGTAGGAGTAATAATTATATAATCATGACCTTGTGATGAACTATGGCAGGACTCACATAGATTTTTCAAGACCTGCTGGCCTCTGAGCCTGGAGAGGCCTGTCAGTGGCAGAGAGGAAGAGCTTTGAAGAGTTGTGCATGGGAGTGATGTAGAAGAGGACATGAGAAGTGGTAACTCTTTCCTTGGGGGAGAGAAGGGAGCAGTGCCACTCTTATTTTCCCCACCTCCATGATTTCAGGCAAATCAGTTCTTGGTGGCAGCTCTTCCACAGGACTGGCACCTTCCTTGAGAAGAGCTGCCTCTCAGTGTGGGTGACAGCTGAATGTTTAGCTAAGAGCACCCTCCAGAAGGTGCTCTGCTCTGCACAGGGCAACTGCATGGTCACCTTGCTCATCTTCATTTGTTACTGGGCTGTCTGGAAGGAACTTTTGGTTGGCTGGTCTGACATCACTCAAAGATGAGGGGAAGCATGATAATGGGATTTAATTAATAATGAACAAAATTGTGGAATATAATTAATATCAATCAAGAAGAATATAGAGAAAATGGGTCTTGTGAGAAATTTTTTTTTTCTCCAAGTTTTAGAAGACACAGATATCTGGGTAAATGTGATAAGTATGGTAGGGTTTTGTCCTGGAACAACATGACCCTAAAAATGTGATCATAATAAATGGTGATCGTGATAAATCATGATAAAAACTTGCTTCACATATCAAAAAACAGTTGTCAAGGAAAAGCCTTAAAGGCAGGAGGTCTGATGGTGCTCAGTGTTTTCATTTGATTTGAAGCAAGCATGAGTTTAAACCTCACTTAATTCGGAGGCGATGTGGACATTAGAAACAGAGTAAATAGTATTGAAGGTGGGAGAGCTGTATAAAGCTTTCTGGGGTTTTGCTTGCTTTCTCTTCAAATAAAATTAATTTTCTTATTTTTTTTTTTAATATGATGTTCCACAAGGTCGTACCAGCAGGACAGGCAAGGGACTGCACAGCCTCCAGGCGACGTGTAATGTGACCAGGAGCTTACTGTGGTCTTGGGAGATACCAGCAGAAGTAGTGAAGATGAGAGTACAGGCTGATTTTTACCTCTGTATGCATTTCTGCACTAAAATGCAGACTCCAGTTCTGATCTCAAAGGGTGTTTAAAACCTGGGGAGGTTGTTATAAAGATTCAAGGCCAGGAGAAAAAAATGCCAGAGCATGAGAGACAGAGAGATCTCAGTCTGTTTAACTTGTCAAAATAAGATTGAGAGATAACTCATCCGCACTGCAGAGAAGTCTTTATAGTGAGAACACAAAGCAGCTCTTGGGGTGGAGCAGGGCACTAAAAAAAACTGATGTGTGAAAGCTGAAACCAGGCAAACTTAAGCCACATCTCTAAATGTCAGGTAGTGAAATAAACTGTGCAGGCAAATGACAGATTCTTCGTCTCTCAATATCTTCAAACCCAGAGTGGATAGTGCTTTAGAAAATATTCTTTAGCCAAACATAAATTGTTTGGCTGAACAGAGCAAAATCAAAGCACCTGTCAACACTGAGAACTTGGCAGAGTGACCGCTGGGCCCTTCTGGTTGTTGGCGTCAGCGAGGTGCTGTGTATCTTCATCCTGGATATTTGACCAAAACATTTCTTCTTCCCAAGGTCATCCCGAAGTAAAATCCTCTCTTAGTGATGTGTTGTGCTGCAGGCTTGACTGACTGCTTAACCTCTGTTGTTTGCTGCTTAATTGGAAGAGGTGCAGGGAATAAATCTGGTGACGCTGCAGAAAATGTCGATACTGCTCTTACTTGTTTCAGATACCACTGACAAATTAAGACAAATGATTTTGCCAGGCAACACCCACATAGATGCATATAATTTACCTTCTGATTGGCATAGGGTCGAAGCACAAAGACACCAGGAAGGGGAGGAGGCACAGCCCCTATGTCCTGCTCCACACTAACCAGAGGTTAATGGTAGGTGACTGTTGCTTGCGAAATATTTTTGGCTCACAGATGAGAAGTGCAGTGTCATCCATATTTATTTCCTTTCCAGGTGTGCTATCCCTGATCTGTCCTCCTCTCTCAGTTGATGGAGGTGGATAGTTTAGGAACCTTTATCACCGTTCTGATGGCATCTCTGGTGCTTATGGTGATCTCTTACCCTGTTTCAGTCGTGCCTTTGGCTGCTGTAGTTTGGGAGCTTGCCTTCATGGCAAAACAAATTATTCCCCTTCTGTTCAAAGGAAACTTTAAGCTAAAAGAGACTGTAGGGGGAGAAAGGTTGGAGAAACCTTTCTTCAGAATAATGAGGGATCATTTGTAAGATGCAAGATTTGCTGTGCATCTCTCTCTGGAAGAAGAAGGAGGAACAAAGGATTTTTGTCCTTTATTCTCATTGTTTTGTTTTACAGAGATTCTTGATTAAGCTTTTGCCATTTTTTCCTTTGCTGTTTTTTTTTCTTTCTTTCTTTCTTTTGTAAATCTGCAAAAGCAATCAGGACTACTAGAAAACGACCCACCCAGCAGTGCAAAGCTGTGCATGTGGTGCTCTACAGCTGGACTTGCCCAGTGCCAGCTAAATCTCTGGTACAGTGCCCTGGTGCTCCTACAGTGCTGCCTTTCCTTGCCTTTGGGCCCTTCTGCTTTATTTCCCTGGCTTTCAGTCAGGAGATGGTTGATAGAATAGAGCAAGCACCTTGTGTTGCTCCAAACCCTCACTCTGTCCCAAGCCTCTCGTTTGTTGCCAGCTGTGGATGAGCAGTCCTTTAATTTTGAGTGTCTCCAGGCACATCTCATTAGACTGGGGAAAGAAGAGATTTTTTTTTTAAACTCATGTTGCCTGGCTGGGCAATGGGGCATTTTTAATTTGTTTCCTACATTTTGTCGTTTGATGCTTTGACTCAGGCTGCCAGCAGAGCTCTTGTGAGGGCTGAGCTCAAAGGGCAGGAGGATGAGTGCTCTGAGTGCACATGTGAAGAAGGGATGGGCACTGGTGCGTGTGGATGACTCAGAGATTGTTTGTGGAGGTGAATGCCAGACAAATGAAACGGACCATCAAGTCTTCCTGCATGGCTGTGCCCTCAGAGGAACCTACAAACCCCGTCAGAGGCTCCAGTGAGCTGCACAAGGCTGAAGAGGGTGCATCAAAGGGAGCTGCTCTGCACTAGTTGGGAGAATAGGCACAGCCATTTCACCAAGCTTCGCTTTTGTTGATGCCCATATTGTTATTCTTGCCTGAAGGTTTGGATTTTGAAAGCACATGAGAAATATGCTTTACATTTGTGTAACTTCCTGATTTATACAGTGTGCTTCATGCCTTGCTCTAGGCACACAAACAGTACAAATGTAGTTAATGTTAACCCAGAACGTGCAGGTCTGATCCCCTTAGCTCACAGGGACATGTGTACACAGGCTGCACCATATGTGGGGACAGCAGCTGGTACAGAGCCCTGGGGCCAGCACGTTTACCCAGTTGGAAACCTCATGATAGTAAAGGAAAAGGTACTTTACAGCTGTATTTATAGGAGAATTTTTGTCTTTGTATTTCTATGTAGATATAATTGGAGAAGTGGGATAGGAAGCATTTCTGATATCTTATCGAATTTTTTTTCTGAAGTCCCTCTTCACACCAAGATCTAAAGAAAAGTATTTTAGGTCAAGCAGCCCACTACAAATGACAGTGTATTTTAGGCAGGTTATTACAGATACCCTCCTATTTCCAAAGCAGTTCAGAAAGTGATTCACAAGAAGTTCCACCTGGATATGAGGAAGAACTTCTTCACTGTGTGGGTGCACTGGAACAGGTTGCCCAGAAAGTGGTGGAGTCTCCCTCGCTGGAGATATTCCGGAACTGTCTTGACGCAATCCTGTGCAGTGTGCTCTAGGATGACCCTGTTTCTGCAGGGAGGATGGATCAGATGACCCACTGTGGTCTCTTCCAACCTTACCCATCCTGTGATTCTTTGAAAGATTTGCTTTCTTTAATATTTGGCAATCCTGCGTTCTCCAGACTCAGTAGCTGGGTCATTTCTCCTCTGGAGGTGGTACTCAGAAAAGCTGGAAGATTTCTGAGAGCACTGTGGATCAGAGGTTTGTTGCCTGAATGCAGGGTAATGACTGGGCATCTTTAGAGGATTTAGATAATTTTGCTTTGTTCAGAAAACTTGTAGCAGATGTGTTTCAGGATGAGTGCTCTATGTGGGATGAAATCTGGAGCTTCCTAACACCAGCTACAGCAATTAATAGTAATGGTATTCATTACATATTCATTACATAACATGGTTTGTTCTGAGAAACAGACTGCTTGAGATGGAGGATGAAAATAGCAGCTGTTAATTTCAGAGGGCTGAGCCTCTGAAGACTGCACTCAGGAGGAACCAGAACCTACTTAATTCCCTCTGTGCTGTGGCTGAGGGCGTCTACCAAGGGGAGTAGTCCTCTCCAGGGTATTCCACTGCTGGTGCCTTTCTGGTGCCACCAGGGAACATTTTGGCCGTGCCCAACTATTCCCCTGTGGCCAGTCTGGGAGGGCTCCTGCTTTCACAGCACCTCTGATGCTGCCTGGCCTTTTCCTCCCCTCTGCTCACTCAGTGGCCACCAGGACCTGCTACTCTTTGTGCTGTTCCACACAATCTGATGCAGCAACATGGGATTTGGGAAAGGCTTGGAGGCATCAGGCTGTAGACCTCAGCTGTGCCTGTGTTCCCTGACTGGGCAGCTCTGGGTGTAGCCAGCTGGTGTGGCTGCCTGTTCAGTGGATAATTAATTGGTACAAATGGTTGGAGTAGGTAGGGAGGGTGTACATGCTCTGAGTACCTGCTGGGCCTGGCATGGTGGAGCAGAGTGTGTTCCAGAGGTGGCTCAGGAGCTGCTGATGAAGCGGGGCTGAGTAAGGGAAATGTTGCATGACAGATGCCAGGCTGGTCTTCTGAAATCCTGCTTTGCTTCTCCTTGACTCTGTCAGTGCAGGAGGCTCTGGGAATAGAGGCTGACTGCCTTTTCTCCCCTTGTGTTCCTAGATGGTGATGGCCGGAGACTGAAAGGAGCCATCCAGAGGAGCACAGAAACTGGCCTGGCTGTGGAAATGCCCAGCAGGACCGTCCGTCAAGCCAGCCACGAGTCCATCGAGGACAGCATGAACAGCTATGGTTCAGAGGGAAAGTAAGTCATCAAAATGGTGCTGGGTAATCACTCGTGGGATGCACTATCCCTGTACATATTAATTTTCCTCCAGCATGATGGACGATGTGTTTTTCTGACTTGCCTGTGCTGCAGGTGTGCTGCCCATCCAATTAGGGCAGATCTCTCTGTCTGCATAGCTGGCACATACTTGACTGTTTATATACTTTTTTAGTGTCCTCATTACTCTGAGCTGAAGCAGATACCCATTACTTTTAACTGCTTTGCCTTTGGATGAGTAATTCAGGGTCAATAGCAGAGGCTCATTACTGCTCATAAATTAAAAGCCAGTGGTTTTTAATATTGCACAATAGTTGTCCATTTTCCCTGTTTCAAAACAGCCCTTTGGTTTTGGGCAGGCGTAAGTTTCAAGGTGCTGAAAAGGGTGAAAGTAATAAAATACATCATAGCATAGCAACATTCTGATATCAAAATATGCATTTTTGCACCTATGTGTACTTCAGTAAAAAAACTTTATTTCGTTTCATCTGAGGTTACAGTGTCCTAAAAGAATGTGTTTCAGGAAAGATTTTTGACTCCCAGAGAAGTTACAACATGCTTGCATTTAGACTTTATACCAAACTGCAAAGCAGGGGATCTTTAGGCCAGAATTTTGGGACTAGACTTGTCTCCAATTCTGGTTTTTGTATTTCCATTACTCGAAGCCATATATGGAAATTTAATAATTTTACTAAGATGACTGTTCATGGGAATTTTTGGAAACAAAAAACCCACAGTATTTAAAGAAGGCAGTACATTCTATCCGATTTTTTGCTTTCTAGGTGTGAGGCCAGAATGTTTCTGTACCTAAAAGGTGTTCTGTTTAAGCCAAGGACCACACTTGGCATCACTCTGTATGCTCTCTCTAGTCCTGTGTGATATTCCAAGTACACTGTACAGCTGAAGTGCTGAGATAGTCCAAAGGCACTCTCAATTAATGTGATTCTGGTGTTAAATAAGTAACAAGCTGTAAATTAAGAGAGACTTTCTTTAGCTTTAGAAGTAGGCTAATCCTGGAAAGGCATCATAGATCTGTGCTGAAGGTTCAAAATAGTAATGAGGCACAGACTGCGATAGCAATCTTGTCACTCCAAAGCTGTGATGTACCTTATCTCTTCTGTGAGCTGCTGTCTCCAGGGAAATATTCCTGCTACACCAGCACAGTCCTGTGCCTTAGAGTTCTGCCTCTGCTAGTAGATGCAGAGGATTAGTGATTAAGTTCAGTCCCTGGGCAATGAGGAGCAAGAATCTGCTTTCATGCTTTCAGAGCAAAATTCTTTCCTTTTCATATTTACATAGCTTACCCTCCTGGGAAGGGGTGTAATTCCCTGAATGGTCTGTGTCCTCTCAATGCATGCACCAGCAGAGGGGGAGTATTTCTGCCAACAAAATACTGCACCCCTACAAGTGCTGTCTCACCCTGAAGGCAGGTGACATGTAGCTATCACTCGACAGAAAAAGGAAAAGCCTGTCTTGCAATCCAATTGCCTTTATTAGAACAAGCCTAACGTTTGGTATTCCAACCTTGAATGCTGCCAGAACATCCTTGCCAGCACCTTGGCCAGGGATGGGGGAGTTTCTTCTCTTCTCTGAAAAGTGTGATTAAGTGGTTCCTGGATGCTTTGTTCCTAGGTGGGATAATTAATCTCTTCTGGGAACCCGGTGGGAATTGCAGCTATCTGTCTGAACCACAAGTGATAAGCAAACAGGGCTGAGAGTACAAAGAGCTAAGAGGGCTCAATTCTCTTGAAACATGGTGGGAGGGGAGTTTCTCTGCTTTCTTTTCCTGCAGCAAAGAATGGAATTGTTTGGGGAATAGCTCTGAGGAACAGAAATGTGTTCTCCTAAATCAGATTTCTCTTGACCTCTCTCATTTGCTGTAGCTGTCTTCCCAGAGAGGCTGAATGAAGATTCATATGTCTCTGTTAGCTGCGGCGAGTTGATTTTCTTTCTAATAAAAGCTGGATTTGTGGCTGGTGCAGATACTCCTGGGTCAGAGAGTTTTCACCAGTGACTGTCAAACCCCTGGTTTTCAGCAAGGCAATGCTGTTCTAGTTCTTTCCACCCGTGCATCCCTTTGGTGTGTTCACACCTGGAGAAGATGGATTCAAAACCTCTCGACTTCCTTGTACTTTTATAATCCTTATCAATTTAAAGGCATCTTAGAAAGGTGTCACACTGAAATGATCAAAGATTTGGTGAAACTTTGCTGCAGCAGGCCTAAATACCTGCCCTCAGCCATACAGAAGTGCGTGGTTTTGAGAAATGCTGCTTTGATGTGAGCACCAGTGTGTAAAATCCAGATTTTTTTCATGAAGGGGCTTATTATGCAGGGATATACCTCTGAGGTATGCTAGGCATTCTTTTGAATACCCCCTTTACCTGAAGATGAAGTATATTGGAGACTAGCTGGGTTAAATGAGGCATCTCCTGGAATTAAAGCTCATACAGCATGCCAGGAAACACTGACATTGTCAACACACTGCTTCATGTAAATTTTTGCCAGACAAAAAATCCTCCAACCTTCTTTTCCAGGTTTTCTATTGCACAGTGGTTGTGCACTAGTATAGGAAATTAATATAATAAAACTCAATGTGAGACTTTGTAGATGGAGAAGTAGATATTTACTCTGAATAAAACTGTTTTCAGTCATTCCCGTGTCCAGGTTTCATTCCCTCATGCTCTCACCACACCATGCAGGCACCAAGCCTCGTGAATCCAGGTGCTGGAGCCAGGCTGGGTTGTGTGCTGCAGGGAGGACATGGGACACAATCTGTCAAGCCCTTGCTGTGTCTGCTGAGTTGTTCTTCACAACAGACTGGCTCTTAGACTGTGTTTTTCTTACACTTTCTAGGATTTACTTGCTATTTTGGAGTGATCTTTCACCTCAGGGTCTTGGCCTTTTTAATCTCCGTAGATCTCAAGCAGCACTGCTACATTTTGTTCCCTTTTTTAGGGGATCTTTATGGCTACAGTCTGCTCTCAGACAGGGTATGCAAGTGATGTGCTCTCTAACCTTGTTGTCTGTCCTTCCCCTGTCATTGGAGAGCAGATCTGCTGCAACCAGGTTGGTTGTGCTTTCACATACCCAGATGTTCCCATTCATAATTCATCTGGAACAATCTTAGCACTGGTTACAAATCTCTGCAGCAGTGAGTATTTTCTTCTATGTCTATACTTAAAGATTTGCTTGAGAAAACAGTTGCCCACTGTAGTAAGTGCCTATGGGGTAGTCTCAGGACACCAGGATTGCTGCAAGGATACAATTCCGAATATAGGAATAACTCACAAACAGCCCTGTGAGATTCAGCAGAATCTCAGCTCCATCCTGGCTCTTGCATGATCTACATCTTGTTTTGGCTGGGTTTTGCTGCAGCTGCACGAGACCATGTACAGCATTCAAAAAAGCAGTAGATTCTGGACTTGCATGTAACTTGTTCCTGCCAAACACTTTTCTTCCTGAAAATGGAGCAGAAAGATAAAAATGGACCTGAAACAAAAGCTTGCTAGCTGCCATAGTGCCTAGGGAGTGGTACTCATAATGTTTTTGTTCTTGCTGGCTACTGCTGAGATGATTAAGTTCTGGAGAGATCAGGTGATTTTTACCTTAGAAAAGCACAGCAGGTGGTGACTAACAAGGACTTGGATGATTGTTCTCGTATTATCTGAGATGAGTGTGCAGGTCCAGCAAGGAATCATCTTGTTGTTAGCCACGTCACCTCTCTTCTCCATGGTGAGTGCAGTGCTGCCTGAGCTCTGCCCTGTTGTGCCCTGGGCAGGAGGCAGGACACAGCCTGGCACAAGTGCCACAAGCACATCTCACACCTCTTGGCTTCCTTCTCTCTCTGGTACGAGTTCTCCTGCTGGGCTGGTGTGATCCAGCACTGGGACTTAGGCTGGGGGAGCTGCCTGCCCTTCTCTGATTCACTGTGCAACAATAATTAACAGGAAGCAGGAATAAATACTGGCCTGGGTAGTAACCACATGGCCACATGAAAATTCACTTCCCTTCACCAGAAATTATCCATCGGCATTCAAGAATGACCAAAAGGCTTGGTTCCTGAATGCCCCATTCAGGAGATTCACGTTGCAGCTATTCCCTGAATGTTTCTTTTTTGACTTCCAAAGCCAGGAGTCTTTGAGACACTTTTATAATAGATATCTTAAAGCCTCTTTTTATCCGAGTCCTTTAAAAAAAGTAATTAAATGTGTTGTTAATATCAGTTCAGGCTGTAAGAAATGGGTGTCTTTTGAGATAGAAACCAAGAAAGGCATGGAGATTATTTCTGTAATATATCAAGAAATTCCTTAGCCTGTTCAGCAGCAGCACATCCTTTTGTACTGGCAAAGCTTGACCAGCACAGCTCGGAAAGGATGTGACCTTGAGAGCTGTAATTACAGCAGGAAATACAGTGAATCCCACCTTCAGCAACCTCTTGGGAACAGACAGAATTGCTCACTGAAGACAGGTAGCTATCTTTTATTCAGTGCATCTGAGATGACTAGTGATTGCTAAAAATGGAGCTAGCCTGGCAAGGTGGGGAAGGGAGTGGGGGAGGTCTTTGTACAGAATTCAGTGCATAGTTTTTATAGCACTGTTTCAGTGGCAGAATTCATACAGCAGAAGGAATGGGATACGCGAGCGGAGTACAATGTGTTACAGCACATAAGACAGCACGTCACAGTGCTAAAAATGCTACAGAAAGTGGAGTGGCCCAGAGAGAAACAGAGCTTGTTGAGAGGCAGAGTTGGAGATATTGCCTGGCACAGGAGAGGTGTGCAGTTGGTGGGGTTAGGATGGGTTTGGGTCCTGCAGGGATAGATTCTCATGGAAAACCTTCCCAGCCAAAGTGAAGGCTCCTGCAGCGTTCACATCAACTTTGACAGGTTAAGGGGCTGTGTGCCAGTCCCTGGACAGTGCAGTTGCATGCATATTCCTTGTGCACACCATAAATATTTGAAAGATGGGATAATGGACATTG